ACAGAGCACCATCAGGGTATTTTATTTTTTCGAGCAAAGTGCAAAACACGGTACTTTTTCAAAATCGTAAGTACCCCGGGTACTTTGCTTTTGCTTGTGGTACTTAATATTAAAAACACTGCTGATATCTACTATGATGAAGAGCACCATGTTAGTTTTGGTAGACTTTTCAGTTATTTAGGATATTGAAAGCTAATAAATCAAGGTTCTTATGATGATGTGCTTTCCTAATGTTGTACTTTTGGATAGTTAATCTTCGTAAATGAATGATAGCAGATTTCTTTTTTTTCTTGCTATCTATTTACTTATTATTGATTTTCTTTACCGGATAAATCAGTTATCAACATTTTTTTACAGGTTCTTTTTATTACAGTGCATGTCGAAAGTTTTTCCTTCGTTTTGTATTTTTTAGTTCTTATCATTAAAGCTTTTTAATTTATCAACTTTATACATGTATATAGAAAGAAAGCCCAGAGTGCGCTGCATCTAATGGCATATTTACATTGAACAACAAATACAGTTTGAAGTTTAAAAAGTGTATTAGAAAAAGACGTGACATTTTTTTTACTGCAAAAATTGTGCAAAATCTTAAAGTGTATGAACAGTAACTAATTTTTAGAATAACTTTTGATTGAAACAAGATATAGATGTGTGGTTTTCAGTGTAAGGAAGAGGACATAAAGATCCATCGAATTCTATACTTCGCATGTCTTTGACAAGTTCTCTTAGGGTCTTTAGTGAACTTTTCTTCAAAAATCGAGACTTCTACAGAGAATAATGTGAAGTTTTTTGCAAAAATACGAAACAGTCGAGTTTTGAAGAAAAGTTCACTAAAGACTCTAAGAAAACTTGTCAGAGATATGCGCAGTATAGAATTCGATGGATCTTTATGTCCTCTTTCTTACGCTGAAAACCGCAGATCTATATCTTGTTTCAATCAAAAGTTATTCTAAAAATTAGTTTCTCTTCATACATTTTAAGATTTCAATGAATTTGTACAGAAAAAAAAATGTCACGTCTTTTTCTAATACTCCTTTTAAACTTCAAACTGTATTTGTTGTTCAATGTAAATATACCATTAGATGCAACGCATTCTGGGCTTTCTTTCTTCTTATAGAAAGTTAACAAAATAAAAAGGTCTAATGATAAAAACTAAAAAATACAAAACAAAAGGAAAAAATTTTGATATGCATTGTATATAAAACCTAAACGCCGTACATTTTGCTTATGAAAATTAACGTAAATGTACACTCTGCTAATTAAAAACAGTGTGTACTATACATTTTACTTTAGATTTCCATTAGAAATACTGGATAGATTATTATAAAGCATGTAATATATTCTTTTGCAGATATTTTATCATTTAATACATTTCTTACTCCAAATAAACTGAATCATATAACTGTTATTTCATATATATAATATAGAAATGGATACACAAACTCATTTAGAAGATTTATCAAACGAGATTTTCTTCGAAATATTTGATTATTTACATGCACTTGATATTTTTATTGCATTTGCTTCGTTGAATAAACGAATNTCAATAAACCAATTTCATCAGTATTACAATTAATTTCACTTCGTGTTATTGTTTCAATTATTCATTGTCGTAACCAAATTGATTTTCTTTCTTCTCATCTAACTTTTCATTCTCATCAAGTTATTTCAATAAAAATAAATGATACAATTCGTGATGATACATCTATGATTAGTTTATTATTTAATCGACATAATTTTATTAATCTTCAATATTGTATGATTATTACAGTTCATCAATCAACGAAACTTGATAATTTTATTAAACAAATAAAAACATGTGATAAACTTGTTTCATTTAATATTTCTAATCCAGATCATGAAAGTATAAATGAAAGTGATAAATGTGAATTGGTTCGAACTATGTTCATGCACAAATCATCTTCTCTTCGTTCAATTATCCTTCAGTATACTTATGATTATTCCAATATTTTAAACAATATTTCACTAACTTCAAATGTTACATTATTGTATTTATGTATAGATGATTCACCTTCAAATATATCTATTCATTCAATTTTATCAATTCTTTGTCTTTGTCAAAGAGTACGTTATATAAGCATACTAGTGAAAGAGAACAATCTGGTTGAATATAATAATATCTCGTAAGTTGTTGGATAGAGAATGTATTAGTTTAAAAAAGTTTATGAAAAGAACAGTTTGAAATGAAAAATAAAATCTTTTTTTAAATTTTTTGTTTTAGTGTTCCAATTACAATATCATCTATCAATGAAAATGATCTTCCTGTATTATCACAAGTGATCTCACTCGAATTAATACTTTTTGTTGCATGGAATAATTATTTAATTGCTTATATATTGCGATGCATGCCTAATCTTAAGTATTTCTTTTTTATGTTTGGACCATATATATCAAAACACTTCGTTCCTATTGAATTGCTCGACGGTCATTTATGGCAAGAAATATTAGAACTTAATGTTCCACATTTATCAAAATTTGAATTTCATATATCAATTTGGAAATTGTATCCACCAACCGATTTGGATATTGTTATTGATTCATTCAAATATTTTGTTGGAAAATATTCTAATTGGCATATGATTATTGATCAATGGAAACTTCAGTCCTCAACTCCTGGTAAATAAATTTAAAAGATTAAAAAAAGATAATAAAGTGTAAATACGAAGACTTATAGCAGAACAAAATTTTTCTTGAAAACTATGTTTTAAGTAAAAGAGGAGCGCAAAAAAAAATCTTGGACAAATAATCTTTTGTAGTATTCGAAATTTAAATTTTTCATTTTTTTTTAGCCGAATTTGTTATGTTATGCACATTGAATTATCATAAACACAAATCGAACATATATACATATATGCCTTTAATTCCTAGTGGATACTTTGACACACGATCAACAATGGAAACAATAGATGATCATTATCTTTTTTATTTAAATGAAACGGATTTAAGAATATACATAACATTAACATCTGAAAGATCACCTATTACTTGGTNATTTTCTTGTGTCGGAAGTTAATTCTACTTACACGAAGACGACGACTACTAAATCCGTCAGAAGGCATCTAAAATATAAAAAAATTTCTAAGACAAAATCATTTCGCATATTAAAAGTGTAACATGGAAAATAAAATAAAAATGAAACGAACAATAAAGTAATCCAATGAAATATTATAAAGACTAGAATCAAGTTTGTTCATATGTGTCATCGTCGAGACCCGTCCGAATTCCGTGAATTCCGAACTCTTGAGGAATTCTTGAACTCAAAAATTATTTAAGACGTACGGGCACTAAGAAATCACAGCATAAGATGGCATAAACACACTCAAGGACCTTAAGGAAGTCAAGGACCTCAAGGAATTCAAGGACTTCAAAGAATACAGGGATCCCAAGGCAGCCAAGGGATCCAAGAATGCCAAAGAATTCAAACATTTCAAAGAATCCAATGATCCCAAGGAAATGCAGGAACTCAAGGATTACAAAGAAATCAAGGAATTCAAGAAATTTAAGGATCCCAAGGAATTTAAGGATCACAAGGAATTCAAGGGATTCGAGGAATTCAAGGATCCCAAGGAACTCAGCGATCCCAAGGAATCCAAGGAACTCAAGGATGCCAAGAATCCAAAGGAATTCAAGGATCTCAAGGGAACCAAGGAATTCAAGGAACTCAATGATCCCAAGGAATTCATGGTAGCCAAGGAGTTCAAGAAAGTCAAGGAAGCCAAGGATCCCAAGGTATTCAAGAAGCTCAAGGATCCCAAAGAATTCAAGAATCCCAAGGAACTCAAGGATCTCAAGGAATTCATGGAAACCAAGGAATTCGAGGAAGCTAAGGATCCCAAGGAATTCAAGGAACTAAAGAATCTCAAGGAATCCAAGCGATTCAAGGGACTTAAGGATTCCAAAGAATTCAAGGAAGTCAAGGAACTCAACGATGCCAAGTATCCCAAGGAACACAAGGATCTCAAGGAATTCAACGAACATAAGCATTTCAAGGATCCCAAGGAATTGAAGGAACCCAAGGAATTCGTGGTAGCCAAGGAAGTCAAAGATCCCAAGGAATTCAAGGAACCAAAGGAATTCAAGGAATTCAAGAAGCTCAAGGATCCCAAGGAACTCAAGGTTGTGGGTGTGGGTGTGAGTGTGGATGTGGATGTAGATCTTGTCATCACATCCACAGCCATACCCACGCCCACACCCACACCTACAGCCACACCCACACCGACGCCCACGCCCGCACCCCACACCCACATCCATACCCTTCCTTGAGTTCCTTGGGATCCTTGAATTCCTTCAGATCCTTGGCTTCCTTGAGCTCCTTGGGTTCCTTGGATTCCTTGGGAACCTTGGCTTGCTTGAATTCCTTGAGCTCCTTGGCATCCGCGAGTTGTTTGGATTCCTTGGGATCCTTGACATCCGTGAGTTCCTTGGCTTCCTTGAATTCGTTGGGATCCTTCAATTCTTTGGTTTCTTTTGAATTTCTTGGGTTCCTTGGCTTCATTGAATTCCTTGGGATCCTTAGCACTCTAGAGTTCCTTGGCTTTCTGGAATTCCTTGAGTTCCTCGGGATCCTTGGCTTCCTGGAATTCCTTGTGATCCTTGAATTCCTCGGGATCCTTGGCTTCCTGGAATTCCTTGTGATCCTTGACTTCCTTGGATTCGTTGGGATCCTTGGGTTCCTTGAACTCCTTGAATTCCTTGAGTTCCTTGGGTTTTGTGAACTACTTGAATTCCTCAAGCTCTGTCAGTTTTCGTTTTTGATTGAATTACAGGAACTTGTTCTTTCACACATTGATTTTGTTAGATCATCAGTGTTAATTTGCTAGTTATTTTTATTCATGGTTGAGTTCAAGAATTCCTCAAGAGTTCGGAATTCACGGAATTCGGACACTGCTGATAAGGAAGTTCTTTAGCAGTTTTGATCGAGTGGCATTATAGGTTTTCAATTCAGACTTCGTTCTTTTGTCGTTAAAGTCCCATGAACAACGCTTAAGATATGACTTATCATTGGAAAAAAGAAACATAGGTTTTGAAAGGGCTTACATTTACAATTAAATGACGAGATTTCATGCGTTTGAATCTGAGTGTAATGATAATTTCACTGGTTTATTCATGTGCCAAAAGTATTGAACTTGATGGGTACTATTCGACGTATGCCGGAACTTGTTTCTCGTATTGCTAAAAAGAATTCCTCAAAGTTTTAATGAGCTTCTGCAATATGACGATTTATAGAGTTGATGTCTAAAAATTCGCCTGAGTTAGAGAATTTGACGTTTTTCTTTATTCATTTTACATATCCTATTAAGCCTCTGTTCATTAGAGACAGATTGAAACTCTAATAATAGTATGTTATTCATAAATGATAGGCAGAGCGAATTCAAAAAGAATGTGGAAGATGTAGCTGCACCAACTCTAAAATTGATTTTATGTCAGTTTTCAATGGTTCTTCTTTTGTAAGTGTAAAAGACAATAACACGTCAGATAATCGCACTGTCTTCAGAAGGTTATAGATTTATTCTAAGCACAGAAATATTGTCGTGTTCCTATCGTGTAAAAATTTATCATATTTTGAGTATAATAAATCGTTACTTTCATAGATTTGTGTAGCTCATTAGATATTCACAAAGAACTAAAATATTCGCACTACCATGTAGTTCTATTTCATTCCCTAAGGAAGGCTATTATTCTCAGACAGTGTTGAGTAACATGAACTCATTTATATTTCACACACTTTGCATTTCTCAAATGATAAACGGCACAAATGAACGTATAAAAGTAACGATTGATCAATAGAAAATCATTTACTTTTTAGCCTTTCCGTGACAATATCCTTTATTTCCGATTATTAAAACATTATTATTTGAAACAGATTCTCCTTTTAGCTTTGCAAACATTATTAAAGAAGATTTGATTACGAGAATGGCATGATCAATTCATGATAAATAATAACATGATTCGGGACATGTTGAATTTTCCGTTCAAATAGGTATTGTTTTCTTTTCCTAGGTTATTATTTCAAAATATATAAACTTATTAATCGTGAAGCAGTGTATAAAGGCTTCCATTTCTCTTATATGATACTTCTGAAACAAAATATGATGATATATGATACGTTTTTACAATTTTGAAAGAATTCAACTCTTAAAAGCATATGCTTCGGAATATGTATGAATATGTATATAAGTTCATCATAAACCAATACTTTGAGTTTATTTGCACTTCATTGTTATTTTACAAACAAATAAATGATATACGTTTTGTTGAGAAAGTTGACTTGATGCGTGCGTTACGAGATATTGACCATGTCTTGATAGATGGCTTTAGGTTATTGTAGAACTTTATCAAGATTCATTTGTAACCATTGAATATTAACACCGCAAAGAAAAATCACGATGGTAATATAAAGGTGAAACTAATGGAAAAGCTGTTAGCGTAATTCCTCTAGGATTAAAATGTGAAAAATGTTATAGTTACTTACATTTCAACCAAGGAAATTCACCAACAAATGTTTCAATTTGTTGATTACTATCTCTGGTTAATACATACTGATGATAAAAGATGTTAATCATACTACGTTACAGTGAATGTGAACGAAGGACAAGAAATAAGTCTTTTAAATCAATTGTGTTCCACACAAGTTCTGCAATGGACTTCGATTTTGCGGATGTTTGTATCACAGTTCGTCAGAAGGTGGTGATAGGACTAAAATGTCTGCAATAGTCGATGAGATGCATGTCACTAAGGTATCTGTTAGAGTCTATGACATAGGTTAAACATGGCTAAGATGTCTATCATGATCTGCCAAGGAAGGGTGACGATGAGTCTAAACTTTTGCCATTATACTTTAACACTTCATTTAGATCATGTGTCACAAAATATATTAGTTTGTCAAGAAAAACTCTATCTAGCGTTGATTCTCTATGTTCTTTGCTTTTGCCCATGAATTATACTTCTATTTCAAGTAAAATAAACTTAAAATAAATAGATTTTGTTCTTAAAAGATCTATTGAAAGCATTGAGTCTAAAGACTTCACAATTTAACATAAAGCATTCCTTCTAATACAAGATTTTCGTAGAAAACATATCGATTGTTCAAACAACAAAAAAATCTACTTCTTTTAGCAAAACCAAGTGAGAAATTCATTTTCTTAGGTGGACAAAGAATTCTTTACCGTCATTTAAGATTGACATGCCCGCAAAATTATAAAAATGTTAATTGTGATAGAAGTTTAGCTTCAAGCTTCTAATTTCCTGCATGCATTAGGCAGTGGTGCATCCTGGATTTTTATGATTGCGGGGAGCGGCTTCGAAGGAACTGAGAGCGACTATGGTGAAAAACTGAATTTTTAAATCCATTAGAGATGGTATCGGCTCGTTGTTAGACCTTTCCTACTCGAAAGAAATCAAACAAAAAATTTGGAATAGGGACGACTGCCCCCAATGCATCCTAAATCCACCACTGATATTAGAAGCTCCCTAGGCTACTACTCGTCGAGACGACAGATTATAGGAAACTCAATATGAAAAGACAAAAGATATTGGTAACTCCTAATGAATAAAAAGAAAGTTAGTAATCATTCCATTATCTTGCTTATTTCGAACATAAGCGATATGAGACTCGAGAAGAAGGATAAATATTTTAGGTTAGAACGATATTAAGCTCAGTTTTGGAATGTTCCGATCCGAAGTCTCTCGATCTCGGTACACTTCCGACTCTGCTTGGCAGAGCTAAAGCTGGATGAAACTTGAAATTTATCCAGTCTCACTGTTTTTTATTAATGGTATAAATGTAAATTATCTAGAGTACTGCATATTAATTGTTCAGATAGGGACATTTCAATGTTTCTTTCGTTTTCTCCCATGTCCTTAAGATATCTTTCAATATGTAAAATGCAAAATACAAAAGAAAAATAACGAAACTACACTGCTTTTTTTTTACAATTGATGTCATTCATTAAAGGATTTTCTTCATTGTTCATGTCATCCATTGATGAGTTCCTTTCTTCCTCTGTCTTGGCTCGTAACTTTTCACATTCCCTCCCTCTTCTAGCAAATGATGATCTTATATATGAATAGCTTCATACAAAGACGTATTTGAATATAAAGAAAGAATTGAATTTTGATCACTATCAATTCCAGTTCATTATTTTTTAAGAACTAAAAACATTAGCATCGAACATGGAAAAAATTAATTTTATTATAAAGATTAATTTAATTTTGCTCTATTTATTAAAGTACAATAAGGACATCTGCATCAATATTTTAGATAAAAGGTTTCCTTTGGTTCACTTCTTTTGACCTAAATCAACTAATTCTATAATATGAACATCAACATATGGCGCCATCCATCTGTGAGAAAAAATTTCGTATCTGCTTGATTCGTTGTAAAATTTTTGAGAGAGAAATGATTGCATGCATCGAAAAAAAAATCTTGCCTTGGTTCTCCTTTTGACAATCGTTTACTATTGAATATATCACATCTCATTCTGAGCTCAATCTAGGAGAAGAAATGAATTTGACATCCGCTATAGATATTGGAACATCAAAGACGTTACGTCTGAAGTCGAAATACCTACATGAAATCCTATTGACTTCGACGAAACCCCATAAATAACTTTGTAAGAATCGTGTTTGGAATTTAACTGATGTATTCTATAATAAATCGGATTATTCTCACGGTTTTTCATAGTTGGATCTCATGTCGAGATCCTTGACATCACTTTTTCGAAAATTTCGACGAAATTCTATCAGATTCAACGAAATTTGGTAGTTTTCTCGATAGAATTCATCAGAACTTAACTGTGGAATCATTTAACCTGAGATCTTTAACATCGAAAGTAGATAAACAAATTTAGATTGAATTAATTGGAATGGATTACTGCAAGGGAAGCAATTTTCATGACAAACTTGAAGTTTGTTCATGTTTACATAAGAATCCCCTCTAAAGTGATCACCCTACTAATATAAACGATTTTCATTGGTCCCGACAGTGTTTCTATAGGAGAGATTTTACTGTATATTTCTTTCCAGTTGAAAATAGACGGTCAACTTTCTTTCTCATTTCATAGCTGACGTCAATATTGCTCATAGATAGGTTATTATAAAGCATGTAATATATTCTTTTGTAGATATTCTGTCATTTGATACATTTCTTACTCCAAATAAACTGAATCATATAGTTGTTATTTCATATTTATAGAAATGGATACACAAACTCATTTAGAAGATTTATCAAACGAGATTTTCTTCGAAATATTTGATTATTTACATGCACTTGATATTTTTACTGCATTTGGTTCATTGAATAAACGAATTTCATCGATATTACAATCAATTCCACTTCGTATTATTGTTTCAATTATTCATTGTCGCAATCAAATTGATTTTCTTTCTTCTCATCTTACTTTTCATGCTCATCAAGTTATTTCAATAAGAATGAGTGATACAATTCGTGATGATACATCTATGATTAGTTTATTATTTAATCGACATAATTTTATTAATCTTCAATTTTGTATGCTTGTCACAGTCCATCGATCAACGAAACTTGATAATTTTATTAAACAGATAAAAACTTGTGATAAACTTGTTTTATTTAATATTTCTAATCCAGATGATGAAACTATGAATGAAAGTGATAAATGTGAATTAGTCCGAACTATGTTTATGCACAAATCATCTTCTCTTCGTTCAATTGCCCTTCACTATACTTATGATTATTCCAATATTTTAAATAATATTTCACTAACTTCAAATGTTACATTATTGTATTTATGTATAGATGATTCACCTTCAAACATATCTATTCATTCAATTTTATCAATTCTTCGTCTTTGTCATAGAGTACGTTATATAGGCATATTAGTGAAAGAGAACGGTCTAGTTGACAATAATAATACCCTGTAAGTTGTTGGATAGGGAATGTATTAGTTGAAAAAGTTTGAAATTAAAAAAAGAATTTTTTTTTGTTTTAGTGTTCCAATTACAATACCATCTATCAATGAAAATGATCTTCCTGTATTATCACAAGTGATCTCGCTCGAATTGATACTTTTTGTTGCATGGAATAATTATTTAATTGCTTATATATTGCGTTGTATGCCTAATCTTAAGTATTTCTTTTTTATATTTGGACCATACATATCAAAACACTTCTGTCCTATTGAATTGCTCGACGGTTATTTATGGCAAGAAATATTAGAACTTAATGTTCCACATTTATCGAAATTTGAATTTCATATATCAATTTCGAAATGTTATCCACCAACCGATTTGGATATTGTTATTGATTCATTCAAATATTTTGTTAGAAAATATTCTAATTGGCATATGATTATTGATCAATGGAAACTTCAATCCTCAACTCCTGGTAAATAAATTTATTTAAAAGATTAAAAAAGATAATAAAGTGTAAATACGAAGACTTACAGCAGAACAAAATTTTTCTTGATAACTAAGTTTTACAGGTCGATTACGTTATTTTTACTAGTTTTCTTCAGCTTTCTGTATTTCTGCAAAACATAATACGCTTTTTATTTATATATGACTGGATAGAGCATTCATTTCTCTATCGATCGGTATATTTTTTATCTGATTTATCTCTCATCTTGACCAAGAATTTAGCGAAGTTCTCAAAGCCCTCAAAAAATTTTTTTTACGGTGGTAACGTTT